TTCTCCTCTCGGGATCTTGGGCACACACGCACATGCGCCCGGTGTGAGTTTTAAGCCACCGGGTCCGGGACGCGAACCGTGGTCGACTACGTGGGAGTCCAGCGACATAGCCATTACGCTAACTGCTGGTTCCCAGCTTACTGATCTTTTTAATGAACTAGCTTTTGGCTCTGTTAGTTGTCTCTATTATTTTTCAGTTTTCTAATTCAATGACTTCTGCTCTCATCCTCATTATTTCTTTTCTTCTACAGACTGTATTTTTATTGCTTATCTCTTTTATTTTTTTAGTTCGTGCTTTTTTTAAGATTTTGACCACAGGGCATGTGCCCTAGCCAGAAAGAGACAGAAAGAAGGAAAGTGAGAAATCACCCTCCAGGAAGGATGGCCATGCCACAGTCCCCTTTCCTCTGTTCTCCTCTCAGGATTTTGGGCATGCATGCACATGTTTTCCAAGCCACTAGTCTGGAAATCTAACCACAAAGTCAGCCATGTAGGATCCAGTGCTTTATTATTATTATTATTATTATTAATTTTATTTTTTAAGAAAGATTTTTGCTATATGCTACATATGCTCATTGGAGACACAAAGAGAGACAGAGAGTCAAAAAATGAGAAATCACCCCCTCTTCCCCAGAGGGATGGCTATATCACAATCCCCCCTTCTCCATTCTCCTCTCAGAATTTTGGGCACACATGCACACATGCCCAGTGTGTTTCAAGCCACTTGGCCCAGGACTTGAATATGGTCATGCCGGGACCCACTCAGCAGAATGCATTTTCTGAGTGGGGAGCCTATGGATTAGAAATAAACATAAAAATAAACACACAAAGACATACACATATAAAAAGAGCTAGGATTAGGTGGACCCAACTTTTTTGATGGAGAAAGTTATGACCTTGAACTAGCCTTAGGTTTTAAAGGGCAGAAAATGGGAGAAGAGGAAATGGAATGTAAAGTCAATTGCTTTTTGTGAATCGTCTGAAGATGTGAAAACACTGGCACCTTGTAATTTCTCTAATCTTTTTGGGGCGAAATCTGATAAACACATGTGGCTTCTTTTAGCCTGATACTGCTCTGCGGTATCGACAACAGACAGTTCGCATTTTTCGTATGCAAATGATTTCATAGCTATGTAAATGAAGCTTACAAAGCACCTTTTTGCATGCATCTAAAGATCACTATGTTTATTCAGATTGGCCATGGAAGTCCAGCACTTTTCTGCCCCCTGCTGGCCTTTGATCTAACATTTTAACCAACACACCACCTGATGGTCCTATTGCTTCTTGGTTTTATATCTTCTTGCAATAGAGCCTTAAGTTATTATTTGTTTTGTACCTTTTTCCCCCCTAATGTAAACATTTTAAGCTATAGATTTTGCTCTAAGTACTACCTTAGGTACATAATATATATTTTGTTATATTATACAGTCATTCCTCAGTATCTGAGGGGGAATTGCTTATAGGACCTCCCCCCCTACAGATATCAAGATCCACAGATATTCAAATCCCTTATATAAAGAGGCATAGAATTTGCATGTAATCTACACACATCCTCTCATATAATTTGAATGAACTTTACATTACTTATAATACCTCATATGATATAAATGTTATGTAAATAGTGGTTATTTTTTAAAATTTGTATTTAAAAATTGTGTTGTTTTTTCCTCATATATATATATATATATATATATATATATATAATTTTTTTGAGAGGTTTTTACTATAGGGCACGTGCGCTTGCCAGACAGACAGAGACAGAGAGACAGAAAGTGAGAAATCACCCCCCAGAGGGGATGGCCACGCCGCAATTCCTTCTCCTCCATTCTTCTCTCGGGATCTTGGGCACACACGCACACGCACACGCACCCGGCGTGAGTTTTAAGCCACCGGGTCTGGGACGCAAACTGCGGTCGACTACATGGGAGTCCAGTGACATAGCCATTACGCTAACTGCTGGTCCCATCAAATATTTTTTAAAGAATTATTTATTTGGGGACCAGCAGGTGACATGATGGTTAAGGCACTGGACTCTCCCATAGCCGACAGCAGTTTGAGTTCTGGACCTGATGGCTTGCTTTCTCACTCTCTCTCTCTCACTGTCTCTCCCTCTCAGTCTCTCTTTGGTGAGTGCACATGCCCTATAACACATTAAAATAATAATAATAAATAAAATGTAATAAATAATTCTTTTTAGAAAGAATCATCATCATCATTATTTGACCAGAGAAAATGAGAGAGAGAGAAAGTGAGCAATTAAGACGCTAGGTCCAGAACTTGAACTGCAGTCAGCCATGTGGGATTCCAGCACCTTAACCATCATGCCACCTACCTAGTCTCTCCCCCAAATATTTTTGATGATCTCCACTGGTTTAATCTAAAGAACCCGCAAATACAGAGGGTCAACTGCACTTTCATTGTTCATTTCTAAATATTTTCAAAGTTTCTGTACGTACTGTTTATTTTTCAGATATTGGGGGTTTTCCTAGATATTTTAAAGGTTTTATTTTCATTGTGATCAAGGAACACAAGATTTCAAATCTTTTTAGTGTATTAAGACGTGCTTAATGGCCCAACATGTGGTTTTTCTTAAATGTATATGCGTACTTGAACAGAATGTACATTCTTCAGGGTTTGATTTTGTGGTTTATACATATCAGCTAGTTGAAGGAGATGGATGGTGTTATTTATATACTCTATTTCTTTATTAATATTTTGGGAGATGTCTGGTTGTAAACTCAGTAACTATAATTGTAGAACTGTCCATTTCTTGCTTTATTTTTGTCAATTTTTGCTTTGTATATTTCGAGACTCTTATTACACACCTACAAATTTCTCATTGGTAAGTCTTCCTGGTGAGTTTACCTTTTATTTATTTTTATTTTTAGGATTTTGCCTTAGGGCACATGTACTTGCCAGAGAGAGACAGTAAGAGGGAGCATGATAAATCACCTTCCTGGGACCAGCAGGTGGTGTAATGGATAAGGGCGCTGGATTCACACATGGCCAACCATGGTTCAAGTCTCGGACCTGGTGGCTTTCTTTCTGTCTTTCCCTTTCTCTCTGTCTTTCAAATAAAGAAAAAAAATAACAATAACAAATGGAAATAAATAAATAAATAATTCTTTTTTTAAAAAAATCACCTTCCAAGGGGCTGGCCACACCACAATCACTTTTCTTCCATTCTCTTCTTGGGATTTTGGGTGCACACACACATGTGCCTGGCATGATTTTCTTTTCTTTTCTTTTTTTTTTTTTTTGAGAGGTTTTTGTCTTAGGGATCGTATGCTTGCCAGAGAAAGAGACAGAGACAGTGAGAGGGAAAGTGAGACATCACCAGGGGTATGGCCATACTACAATCCCTTCCTGTCCATTCTCCTCCTGGGATTTTAGACATGCACGCCCACACACCCAGCATGAGTTTCAAGCTGCTGGATCTGGGACTCAAACTGTGGTTGGCCATATAGGAATCTAGTGACGTAACTGCTACACCATCTGTTGGCCCTCCAGTGTAATTTTCAAGGTGTAGAGTCCAGGACTCAAACCTCACTTAGCGTTGTGGGAGTTCAACACCTCAACCACCATGGCACTTGCAGCCCCCCCCAGAGATGACCTTTTTACAATTATGAGGAAATTATTCTTGATAATATAGACTGTCTTGATGTTTGCTCTTAAAGTTTATATATTTATTTTGAGAGAAAGCAAGAAGACAGTCTCACCACCATACTGCAATTGCTTGATGGGGTCTCACTACACCATGATCCTTATCTCAGCCTTCCAGCCAGCTTTGATCATGGGCACACTTAGGGGCATGCCCAGTGCGTTCAGTTTGACCCAGAATACAAAACCAAGTTATTCCTATGTGGCTCCAGCATCATGTACTAGAGTTCTACTGCCTGTGCCATTGTGGCTAGGCTAAATTTTGTTTTATTTTATATTAATATAGCCATTCCAGCTAATTTTTCCCTCCAAATTGAATACCCTCAAGCCATTTACTTCCTCTTTTTTATTATTCATTTATCTATTTATTTGTTGTGATTTTTAAGCTGCTTGGTACAGGGTTCAAATGGTGTTCAGCCATGTGGGAGCCCAGCCCTTTAACCACTTTAACCACTATACCACCTGCTGACCTCAGTCATTTAGTTCTTGAATAACCTTAACTGTTCTAATATATATTGACTGTTCGGGTGTTTCTAATATATATTATTTATATTTTACACAAATCACAGGAAACGTCAGCAAAGTCATACTATTGGGTCATCAAGAAAGTCATAACACATTTTTGCCTAGAAAAACATAGAAAGGGAAGGCAGGTGGCATGGTGGTTGAGATGCTGGACTCCCACATGACCAACCATGGTTCAGGTCCTGGACTCAGTTGCCCAAATATCATGACAAATAAATAGAAAAATAAATAAATGAAAAAAAAGAAAGCATTTCATGACTTTCCCAATGACTTCATTTAAAAACTGTGATAAATTTTTCTAAAACAGGAAAATATGTTTATTTTCTTTCATATTTGCTATCTAGGTATGATACTAAGGAGTTACCTTTACAGAATGGAAGTTTTGAAAACATGTCATTAAAATGGAAACTAATGGAAAAAGTCAGAAAGTCTTGCCTTGAGGAATCTTGTTTTGGAAATGATTGGAAATGCAAGGGTCTCTTTGAGAGACCACAGGAAACTGAAGAAGAATATTGTAGGCATATAACAATCTCATAACATCTGAAATCATCCAGCCTGCATCCCTTGAACTAAACCAAGTAATTCATGCTGGAAAGAAACTCCATGAATGTAAAAAATGTGAAAACCTTACTGAACAGGTAAGAATTCATACAAGTGATAAATTTGATGAAATGTGTGAGAAGGCCTTTATATTTTATACAGATTATATGAAACATGAGCAAAGTCTTACTGGAAAGAAACATGATGAATTTAAGCAATGTGGCAGAGACTTTGCTTACAACTTGGAACGTAGTCAATATCAAATAAATCATAAGAGGATATCCTGTGAATGTCAGATATGTGGAAAGACTTTTCAAAAACGTGCCCACCTTACGCAATATAATTGAATTCATACTGGTGAGAAACCATATGAATGCAAAGAATGTGGGAAAGCCTTTATCTATTGTTCAACATTGATTCAACATAAGGGAACACATACTAATGAGAAACCCTATGCATGTCTGCAATGTAGAAAGACTTTTAGGCAGAGTGCACATCTTACACAACATCAAAGAACTCATAGTGGTGAGAAACTCCATCAATGTAAGCAGTGTTGGAAGGCTTTTGCTTCTCTTTCTGACTTTAATAGACATCGAAAAATTCACACTGGTGAGAAACCTTATGAATGTAAAGAATGTGGTGAGGCATTTAATAATCGCTCAACTCTTATTCAGCACCAGAGAATTCACACCGGTGAGAAGCCTTTTGAGTGTAAGGAGTGTGGCAAAAAATTTAATAATTGCTCAACACTTTCTCAGCACTAGAGAACTCATACTAATGAGAAACCTTATGAATGTCAGGAATGTAAAAACGCTTTTAGGCGAAGTGCACATCTTACTCGACATCAAAGAATTCATACTGGCGAGAAACCATATGAGTGTAAGGAATGTGCAAAGGCCTTCTCTTGTATTTCTGACTTTAATAGACATCAGAGAATTCACACTGGTGAGAAACCTTATCAATATAAAGAATGTGGGAAGGCATTTAATAATTGCTCAACTCTAATTCAACACCAGAGAATTCACACCGGTGAGAAACCCTATGAATGTAAGCAGTGTGGGAAGGCATTTATCTCTTGCTCAACATTTTTTCAACATCAGAGAATACATACAAATGAGAAACCCTATCAATGCCAGGAATGCAAGAAGGCTTTTAGGCAGAGTGCACCTCTAACTAGACATCAGAGAATTCACAGTGGTGAGAAACCCTACGATTGTAATGAATGTGGAAAGGCCTTTACTTGTTCTTCTGACTTTAATAGACATCAGAGAATTCACAAAGGTGAGAAACCCTATGAATGTAAAGAATGTGGAAAGGTCTTTAATAGTTGCTCTACTCTTAACCAGCATCAGATAATTCATACTGGTGTGAAACCCTATGAATGTAAGGAATGTGGGAAGACCTTTATGTGGCTTTCAAACTTGAATAAACATCAGAGAATTCACACTGGTGAAAAACCATATGAATGTAAAGATTGTAAGAAGGCTTTTCTATGTTATTCAACATTTATTCAACAGAGAACGCACACTAATGAGAAACCCTATGAATGTCAGGAATGTGGGGAGGCCTTTAGGCAGAGAGCACATCTTAGTCAACATCAAGGAATTCACACTGGTGAAAAACCATGAGTGTAAAGAATGTGGGAAGGCCTTTGCTTGTGTTTCCTACTTTAATAGATACCAGAGAGTTCACACTGGTGAGAAACCATATGAGTGTAAAGAATGTAGGAAGTCTTTTATCGATTGTTCAACTCTTATTCAACATCAGAGAATTCACACTGGTGGGAAGCCCTTTGAATGTCAACAATGTAAAAAGGCTTTTATGCAGAGGGCACATCTTACTCAACATCAACGAATTCATACTGGTGAGAGACCTTATGAATGTAAAGAATGTGGGAAGGCCTTTATTTGTCTATCACAAGTGAAAAAGCACCAGAGAATACACATGTGAAGCAAGAAATTCTATGTATTTAAATATTTCTTTTACTTACCAGTCCTTAATATCATCAAATTCATATTGGATGGAATCCTTAGAAATATAAGAAATGGGACCAGCAGTTAGTGTAACGGTTATGTCGCTGGATTCCCATATAGTCAACTGCGGTTCGAGTCCTGGACCCGGTGGCTTAAACTCACGCCAGGTACGTGTGCATGCGTGCCTAAGATCCTGAGAGGAGAATGGAGGAGAAGGGATTGGTGTGACCATCCCCCCTGGTGGGGATTTCTCGCTTTCTGTCTCTGTCTCTCTCTGTCTTTCTGGCGAGTGCACACACCCTATAGTGAAAACCTCTCCTAAAAAAGAAAAAAAAAAAAGACATATAAGGAACATGGGAAATGTATCTGTCCTTCAGTTATCCCCTTATACAATGGAATTTGTACTGAGGAGAATCCTTATATAAATCAGGTATGTATAAGATACCTCTCTCATTGGAACCAGCAGATGGCATAATGGTTATGTCACTGGACTCTCATATAGTTAACTGAAATTTGAGTCCCAGACTCAGCAGTTTAAAATTCATGCTTGGCGTGTGTGCATTTGTGCCCAAGATACTGAGAGAATGGAGGAGAAGGGATTGTGGTGTATGTATCTAGATTATATTCTCTATTCTAATAATTTCTATTACTATCATATACATATATAAACACGGTATATATATATATATGTAATATATATATATATAATATATAATTCATGCTTGGCGTGTGTGCATGTGTGCCCAAGATACTGAGAGAATGGAGAAGGGATTGTGGTGTGGCCATCCCCCCCAGAGGGTTTTTTCCCTTGCTTTCTGTCTGAGTGCACATCCCCTATAGCAAAAATCTCTAAAAGAAAACCCTGAAAAAACCTCTCTCACACTATACTCAACATTCTATAGTTAATAAAATGATTAATATAGGAAACCCTGAAAAAAAAATATATAGGAAACCCTGGGACCAGCAGGTAACCTGGTGGTTAAAGCACTGGATTCACATGTGGTTGGCTGGGATTTGAGTCCTAAAAGTCACGCTGGATACAAATGTGTGCATGCTCAAAATCCCAGGAGGAGAATGAAGGAGAGGGGTTATAATGTAGCCACCCCCCTCTGAGGGGTGATTTCTCACTTCCTCTTTTTTCTCTTTGTGAGTGTAAGTGCCTTATGGCAAAAACCTAAAACAATATATCTATATTCAGAAACTATGGGGTTTTCATTTATCCATTATGAAACAGGAAACAATTTGTAAGAGAACAACAACCAGTGATTGTAAATTTCTTTTACCTCATAACACTGTTTATTCGGTATCAGTATTTATATATGAAAAATAAAAAATATGAACAAAAATATGTTTACCACTAATACAGTTATATTTTATTATACTATAACTGTATAGAATAATATTTAGAGGAAATAATCATTTTGACTTTTTTAATGTAGAAAAGTTTTTTCCTGTAACATGAATCTTTTCCAGTATCACTGCAGTTACATCGTCTGCCACCTGTGCTTTGTTACCATGTAACTGAAACTCTGTCCTCAGATGACTGATTTTAAACTTTGTGATAAGGTTATTGTAAAGATTAAAATAATTAATTAGAGGATTAAGAATTACTAAGACCTTTGGAATAGTTAAGAACAAAGAGGGGCTGACAGGTGGCATAGTGGTTAAGGGCACTGGACTCCCATACAACCAACTACAGTTCGAGTCCCAGTTCTGGCAGCTTGCTTTCTCACTTTCTGTCTCTCATTTTCACTCTGTCCCTCTCTGGTCAAATAAAAATAAATAAATAAATAAAGTTAGATAAAACAATTTTTTTTTTTAAAAAAAAGAACAAATAGAAACTATTTGGTAAACTATTCAATCTTAGCATCTTTGTTACTATTCTTGGAACATTAATATAAGAAGATTGAGGAAAAGAAAAAAAGAAGATTGTTAATTTTACTAATAGAATGAAGTTTATCATCACAACTTGTTCTATGTCAAATCTATGATAATTTATTTTGGAATGAAAATTAGGGGCTGGCAGGTGGCATGGTGGTTAAGGTGCTGGATTCCCACATGGCTGACTGCAGTTGGAATCCAGGACCTGGCAGTATGCTTTCTCACTTTCCTTTTCTCTCTCTCTCTTTCTGGTCAATTTAAATAATAATAATAATAATAAATAAGTCTTTTTAAAAAGAAAATTAATATAATAGAGGAAACTCGAATTTTCAAATTCAAGTTTAAATTAACTTTAAATGAACTTGAACTTATTTAACATGAATCAGGAAATTCATTCTACGGACCAGCAGATAGCATGATGGCTATGTCGCTGGATTCCCATGTAGTCAACTGCAGTTTGAGTCCTGGACCCGGTGGCTTAAATTCATGCCAAGTGCATGTGCATGCATGCCCAAGATCCTGAGAGGAGAATGGAGGAGAAGGGATTGCAGCATGGCCATCCTCCCGGGGGGAGGGGGCGGGGGTGATTTCTCGCTTTCTGTCTCTCTGTCTCTCTCTGTCTTTCTGGCGAGCGCACACACCCTATAGCGAAACCTCTCCTAAAAAAGAAAAAAAAAAAAGACATATAAGGAACATGGGAAATGTATCTGTCCTTCAGTTATCCCCTTATACAATGGAATTTGTACTGAGGAGAATCCTTATATAAATCAGGTATGTATAAGATACCTCTCTCATTGGAACCAGCAGATGGCATAATGGTTATGTCACTGGACTCTCATATAGTTAACTGCAATTTGAGTCCCAGACTCAGCAGTTTAAAATTCATGCTTGGCGTGTGTGCATTTGTGCCCAAGATACTGAGAGAATGGAGGAGAAGGGATTGTGGTGTGGTCATCCCCGCTGGGGGATGATTTCTCACTTTCTTGCTTTCTGTCTCTCTTTCTCTCTTTCTGGCAAGTGAATGTGCCTTATAGCGGGAAAAAAAAAAATCTCTCCCCCAAAAAAGAAAGAAAATTTCATTCTGGAAAGACCCTATGAAAAGTATGAAGGGGTTAACTTTGTGGCCTAGTTGATAAGGCAGCCAGATCCCCCATAGCCACCTGTGTGGTTCAAGTCCAGACCAAGTGGCTTGAAAAACATGCTAGGTGTGAGATTTTTTTGTTATTTTGTGCACTTGTTGGAGAAACAGAAACAGAGAGACAAAAAGCAAGAAATCACCCCCCAGGAGGGGATGGCCATGTCACAATCCCTTCTCCTCCATTCTCTTGGGATCTGGGGCACATATGCCCAGCATGAGTTTTAAGCCACTGGGTCCAGGACTTGAATGCAGTAACTACTAGCCATCTGCTGGTCCCACTTTTGTGGTAATTTGTTGCAACAGTTGTAGAAAACTGATAGAGTGGTGTATATCTTAGCCTCAATGCTGTGGAGAAATCTTGATCTCTGTAAAGGAGAGTTCAACGCCTATAGTTAATGTCGAAGACTTCAAGTAAAGGACATAACTCCTAGCCCTTCACCAGGAATATAATTTCTTTCATCTTTTTTAGAATTATTTTATTTAACTTTATTTATTTCCATTTGACCAGAGAGGACAGAGTGTGTGTGTGTGTGTGTGTGTGTGTGTGTGTGAGAGAGAGAGAGAGGGAAAGTGAGAAAGCAAGCCCCCAGGTCAAAGACTCAAACCACAGTTGACCATGTGGGAGTCCAGTGCCCTTAACCACCATGCTACCTGCTGACTCCTAGTAATATAATTTCTAGTTTGTTCCATTGTGAGTTTTTGATTTTTTTTTGAGAGGTTTTCGCTATAGGGCACGTGCGCTCCCCAGACAGACAGAGAGAGACATAGAGACAGAAAGCGAGAAATCACCCCCCAGGGGGGATAGTCACGCTGCAATCCCTTCTCCTCCATTCTCCTCTCGGGCTCTTGGGCACGCACACATACACGCCCTGCGTGAGTTTTAAGCCACCGGGTCCAGGACGCGAACCGTGGTCGACTATGTGGGAGCCCAGCGACATAGCCATTACACTAACTGCTGGTTCCCCATTGTGAGTTTTTTTAATCTTAGGAATTTAATGAATGTTTAATGAATAATATAATCAGTATATATTTACTTGTTTTGCACTTGATTTGTCGTAGATTGAGAAATTGCCTTATAATCCCCTATTTTTTAAGGAATTATTTAACTTTATTTGTTATTGTTATTATTAGTGTTGTTATTGTTATTTTAAATTTTCTATAGGGTACATGGACTCACCAGAGAGATAAGAGAGAGAGAAAGTGAGAAAGCAAGCTGCTAGGTCCAGTGCTAGGACCCACTTGGCAGAACACATTTTTCTGAGTGAGGGGACTGTGGATTAGAAATAAACATAAAAGTAAACACACAAAGACATACAAGTATAGAAAAGCAAGGATTGGGTGGGCCCTACTTCTCTGATGGAGAAAGCTACAACCCAAACTGGCCACAGGTTTATTCTTTTAAAGGGCAGAAAATGGGAGAAGAGGAAATGGAATGCAAAGTCAGTTGGTTTGGGATGTAAATTGTCTGAAGACGCAAAAATGATTGGTGCCATGTAGTTTATCTGATCTTTTTGGAGCAAAATCTGATAAACAGGTGTGGCTTCCTTTACCCTGATACTGCTTTGCAGTCTCAAAGACAACAGGCAATTAGCATTTTCATATGTAAATACTTCCATCTCTATGTAAATGAAGCTCACTGAACTGCAATTCTGCATATGTCTAGAGGTCACCATGTTTACTCAGAATTTGCCACTCTCCACAGTCCAGTACTTGAACTGTAGTCAGCCATGTGGGAGTTTAGCACGTTAACTCTGTGCCACTGGCTAGTCCCCAATTTTTCTATTACTAATGAAATTTTATTTCTTATATAACCTGTAACTTCTGCTTTATGAAAGTTGCTACTTTGTTAGTTGATACATAGATAGTCATGATTATTATAGATTGATTGTGAATTCTAGGTTTGGATATTTAGGATACTTAAGGTCATG